CAATCAACATTTTTATTTAATCATGTCAAATTGTCTCTACCTTCTTTTTTGTATGTTAACATGAAATTGATACAACATGTATAATTGGTATTATAAAAATAAAATATAAATTATTTGTTGATGTTTATTAAGCAATAACATAATTATTGTATAAAAAACATATATTTACTCATTACTATTGTTATGTTTTNATTTAAATACTAATTAATGGACCATGCCCAACGACTCAACTCATGCTATGAGCCTAGTCTTCATTAAGAGTCCAAATTTGTAAATATCCAATATCCAGCCCAAAGGAGTCCACACCCGATCAAATTTGCCAGGGGAGTAAGCAAGGTCTCCGAGAGCCTCCTCCTAACTACCTTGAAGTAAGGATCATCCAAGAGCCTCCTCCTAACCACCTTGGAGTAAGGGTCATCCATTACCTCATCCTTTGTGTCATTAATAATAATTTGTGTCATTAGATCTTAATCTATCGAATTATAACTGTAATTAACAACTTCGACAAAGAATTGAAAAAAATTGAGAATCCAACTTCCCAAAAGTAATATTAACACATTTAAGAGGTCAAAATAAAGGAAAAAAAATTTGTTTTGAAAAAGTCGAAATATTTTTGTTTTTTTAGGAGATTGAAACGAATTAGTGATTGAATTAAAATTCTAATATTTCGAGTAAGGGTCATCCACCACCTCATNAAGTCAAACTTGAAGAGATTCAATAGGTTCAATCTAAGGGAGGTCCACACTAATTAAGTTTATCAGGTTTCGAGAAGCTACATCACCAAAGAAATAAGTAGAGTCATTCAAGAGTCCCGTCTATACCGTCTTGGAAGAAATCAACCACCACGTCATTATTTGATCTGATCTTAAGGAGAGTTTTGAACTACCTCATCCGTTGAGAAGATAGTGTCATTTCCACCAGATTGAAAAGGCACCTTAGTCTGTTGAAAACCACTATAAATTGTAAGTCCCGTCAATACTTAGGGGCATCGAGCACATCTGTTATCACTCTCATCTCTCTCTCATTACTTGTATCTCTCTACACTCCTCAAAGTAATAAAATACTCAGGTCATCCTAACCCTTCATAGTGAACATAGGTTACGTTGACCGAAACACTCTACATCTTTACCTAGCTTGAGTTACTCTCTCTCTTTATTTAATTACTGTATTAATTACTGATCACTTGATTGGTGGTGCATAAAAGTAATTTGTGCATCATCAAAAACAGTTGCATGTCAATCCCAATAATAGCTCAAGTGGTAACAGAAACGAGCTGTAAACTCAGACATTTTGAGTTCGAATATTGGCAACCACCTTGAGATCAGACCATGAGAGAACATGAATGACCTGCCTTTGACCAAATCAGGATAGAGACTAATCGAGGTGCGCCCCAATTAACCCTCCTGACCGTTGAATTTAAAAAAAGAATAGTTGCATGCCCATGTAATTAAAACCACGTTGAACAATGACGAAAATCTCGTACATTAATCAATTTTTTCTCGGTTTTATGAATTTTACAGCTTCATGGAATTACAGTGAGGGTAGAGAGTTTATTTGATCAAAAAAAAAAAGGGTAGGGAGTTTAAAAGTGAGGAGTATTTGGACATCCCTGAGTACTAAAAAAAAAAAAATAGTTGCATGCCCACTTAAAACCACGTTGATATCTAAACTTCTCGACTATACAATGACGGAAATCTTATACGCTAGTCAAATTTTTCTGGGTTTTATGAATTTTGTAGCTTCGTGGAGTCATGGTGGGGGCGGAGAGTTTAGAAGTGAGGACTATTTGGGTTGTATCTGGGGAAGATATTGGAAGAATCTTTACAGGAAGAAAATAGTTTTGCGCAAAAGGACAGCAGTTCTCTCTTTCTCTCTCCTTAAAGTCTCTTTTTCTCTCTCCTAGTTGATTTGTTTGACAGATAAGGAGGGAGGTATGCAATTTTGGTTTTTGTGCATAGCTCTGTGCTTATCAGGGGAATGTAGGACTCAGGGAGGTTCATGTGATTCCTTGTATAATGTTACCAATTACCATGTTAATTGTTACTGATTCAGACAAATTTATCGTTAATCACGCCCTTAAAATAAGGAGTAACAGTGTTTTATTCTGCTTTGTGCTTGCCATGGTTGTAATTTGTGAACATCCAGGTGAAAATAGTAAGCAGTTTCATCCCTATTTTTGGAAAAACCCGTTTTGAATAGAATGCATTATTGACAAAATGGAATGGTGACATATCAATTCGACGAATGGACATTGATAAATTGATGAATTTTGGAACGTGTTTTTGTTTTCTAGAAATAGCAACATTATAAAACATTANTTTTTGTTAGGGTTATTAACTTATTGTCTGAATTTGTCCAAATATAGTCGAAAATAGTAAACAGTTTCATCCCTATTTTTGGAAAAAACCCGTTTTGAATAGAATGCATTATTGATAAAATGGAATGGTGACACATCAATTCGACGACTGGACATTGATAAACTGATGAATTTTGGAACGTGTTTTTGTTTTCTAGAAATAGCAACATTATAAAACATTANGAGTCAAACTTGAAGAGATTCAATGGATTCAGTCTAAGGGAGGTCCACACTAATTAAGCTCATCAGGTTTCGAGAAGCTACATCACCAAAGAAATAAGTAGAGTCATCCAAGAGTCCCATCTATACCGTCTTGGAAGAAATCAACCACCACGTCATTATTTGATCTGATCTTAAGGNTAGATGTAAATATTACACTGTCATTTACCATCCAAACTTTGAAGAAAAAATGTGATGGAGAATGAAAAAGGGACTAATTTTTTTATTATCCTTCAATAAAATCGTGATATTCGAATGATTTGCCTTTCGATTTCTTTTTTTTTTTTTAGTGACCAATATGAACCTGATTCGATTTGGCTTTTCANCAGTCTGTTGAAAGCCACTATAAATTGTAAGTCCCGTCAATACTTAGGGGCATCGAGCATATCTGTTATCACTCTCATCTCTCTCTCATTACTTGTATCTCTCTACACTCCTCGAAGTAATAAAATACTCAGGTCATCCTAACCCTTCATAGTGAACATAGGTTATGTTGACCGAAACACTCTACATCTTTACCTAGCTTGAGTTACTCTCTCTCTTTATTTANATTTGGCAAATATTAATGTTCTGCCATTAAATTAACACAGATCAATGTGGATGATTCACTGTCTCCAAGAACTGAGGGAGGTTCATACCACAACTCTCTTAGCAGTAGGCTATAAATTTCCATTGATTTTGTTGTTAAGTGCACTTGATTTTCCGTTGTAGTAGTCACTGTACTGATATCCCCATTTAGTCACAGCTGACAAAACAAAGGTCAGCTTCAAACTCTTTTCAATGTGAACTTCTAAGTTTTGCATTGTTTGCTAGTAATAGCGTGGCGTTTTCGTTGCATTGTTTTTTATTCCACTAGAATTTTTTTTTTNAGACGAACTGTAAACTCAGACATTCTGAGTTCGAATATTGGCAACCTCCTTGAGATCAGACCATGAGAGAACATGAATGACCTGCCTTTGACCAAATCAGGATAGAGACTAATCGAGGTGCGCCCCAGTTAACCCTCCTGACCGTTGAATTAAAAAAAAATAGTTGCATGCCCATGTAATTAAAACCACGTTGAACGACGAAAATCTCGTACATTAAGCAATTTTTTTCTCGATTTTATGAATTTTACAGCTTCATGGAATTACAGTGAGGGTAGAGAGTTTATTTGATCAAAAAAAAAAAAGGGTAGGGAGTTTAAAAGTGAGGAGTATTTGGATATCCCTGAGTATTGAACTAAAAAAAAAAAAACAGTTGCATGCCCACTTAAAACCACGTTGATATCTAAACTTCTCGACTATACAATGACGGAAATCTTATACGCTAGACAAATTTTTCTGGGTTTTATGAATTTTGTAGCTTCGTGGAGTCATGGTGGGGGCGGAGAGTTTAGAAGTGAGGACTATTTGGGTTGTATCTGGGGAAGATATTGGAAGAATCTTTACAGGAAGAAAATAGTTTTGCGCAAAAGGACAGCAGTTCTCTCTTTCTCTCTCCTTAAAGTCTCTTTTTCTCTCTCCTAGTTGATTTGTTTGACAGATAAGGAGGGAGGTATGCAATTTTGGTTTTTGTGCATAGCTCTGTGCTTATCAGGGGAATGTAAGACTCAGGGAGGTTCATGTGATTCCTTGTATAATGTTACCAATTACCATGTTAATTGTTACTGATTCAGACAAATTTATCGTTAATCACGCCCTTAAAATAAGGAGTAACAGTGTTTTATTCTGCTTTGTGCTTGCCATGGTTGTAATTTGTGAACATCCAGGTGAAAATAGTAAGCAGTTTCATCCCTATTTTTGGAAAAACCCGTTTTGAATAGAATGCATTATTGACAAAATGGAATGGTGACATATCAATTCGACGAATGGACATTGATAAATTGATGAATTTTGGAACGTGTTTTTGTTTTCTAGAAATAGCAACATTATAAAACATTAGATGTAAATATTACACTGTCATTTACCATCCAAACTTTGAAGAAAAAATGTGATGGAGAATGAAAAACGGACTAATTTTTTTATTATCCTTCAATAAAATCGTGATATTCGAATGATTTGCCTTTCGATTTCTTTTTTTTTTTTTAGTGACCAATATGAACCTGATTCGATTTGGCTTTTCACATAAATTTGGCAAATATTAATGTTCTGCCATTAAATTAACACAGATCAATGTGGATGATTCACTGTCTCCAAGAACTGAGGGAGGTTCATACCACAACTCTCTTAGCAGTAGGCTATAAATTTCCATTGATTTTGTTGTTAAGTGCACTTGATTTTCCGTTGTAGTAGTCACTGTACTGATATCCCCATTTAGTCACAGCTGACAAAACAAAGGTCAGCTTCAAACTCTTTTCAATGTGAACTTCTAAGTTTTGCATTGTTTGCTAGTAATAGCGTGGCGTTTTCGTTGCATTGTTTTTTATTCCACTAGAATTTTTTTTTTCTTTCTGTTTTTCCTGCTTTCATCACCATGTAGTTCTTTTTTGTTAAGTGAAAAGGTTATGCATTGATTTTCTTTTGTTCAAGACCTAATAAATTGTGTTAACAAACGAGCAATCTGCATCTCAGATTTATCTTGAATTCTGCAGTGTGTTAATCTCAAACTCTGGAAAATTGAATATTTCAGGCTGCGACAGAATTGTGGTTGAAGTAGCTGCATTGAAAGCACAGCACCCCTAGTGTTAGTTTTCAAAACCTTAAGGCTTTTGTTAATCATGGCTGAGGATGGTGTGCTGCCTCCCCCTGAGAGAAAGTGGAGAATACCACTCTTTGCCATGTTCAACGATGCCAGGTACAGTTTTTCGATAATAGCATTGGCAATTTGTCTGAATTATCTCTGTAACTTTGGATAGAAAAGAATATAGATGTTACAATTCATTGCTGGACACAGAGTTGATATATCCAAGCTTGCAATGCTTTTAATGGTCATGATTTATTGTGTATCATTCATAGAATCCTTCTTGTTTAATCTTACATAAATTTGTCTCTAGAAGTACAACCCGAAAGAGAAATTTGTGTTCGATGTGTTGAATCGAATGTTGGTTTCTGGAACTGTTTCTTAGGCTTGTTTTCAAGAAGGATGCGCTCGGGATGGAGATACTACACATTGCATTACCTGCAGCCATGGCATTAGCTGCTGATCCAATTGCTTCTCTGATTGACACTGCGTTCATTGGCCGTTTAGGTCTGCTTGTATATCCTATACTTGTCCATTTTTACTGACTTCTGCTTCAGAAATCCCTTGAATATAACGTGAATCAGTAATCCCACCAATTACCTTGACAATTAAGCTTCCTCATTCCTTGTCATGCTTGATCTCAAAGATCTTGTGATAAGATCTTTGAAGAATAGNACTTCTGCTTCAGAAATCCCTTGAATATAACGTGAATCAGTAATCCCACCAATTACCTTGACAATTAAGTTTTCTCATTCCTTGTCATGCTTGATCTCAAAGATCTTGTGATAAGATCTTTGAAGAATAGCTTGTTAAGTATGTTTTGGTGTTTGAGCCCTTTTTGTGCTCATGTATAGGTCCGGTGGAGATTGCAGCCGTGGGTGTTTCGATTGCCATTTTCAATCAAGCCTCAAAGATTACTATATTCCCACTTGTTAGTATTACAACTTCTTTTGTTGCCGAGGAAGATACTGTTGAAAGATTAAACAGTAAAGTGCCAAAAGATGAAGACTTGGAAAAGGGTTCATCCAAGGACAACGAATGCAAGGAATTGATGCCAGAAGATGCTAATACAGAGAACTTGCAAAAGAACAATGAAACCAAAGAGTCGATGACAGATGATAGTATGCCCTCTCTCTCTCTCTCTCTCNTTTTTGTTGATGTAAAAGGAAAAGATATGTTAGAACCTTGTTTAACTTGTTAAGCATTAAGCCTTTTGGACAATTAGCAACCGAATTACACGACTTTAACATGCATTACTTGCCTTGTGGTTTCTTTTATCAGATGTCAAAACAACTGAATACAAGTCCCCAACTGTTACAAGCAACAATCCAAAGAAGATGAAACTCAAGAAAGTGAAGCGAAATATCCCTTCTGCATCAACCGCCCTTGTTATTGGTGGTGTGCTTGGCATCCTCCAAACCATGTTCCTCATATTTCTTGCAAAACCAATTCTAAGCTTCATGGGTGTCAAATCTGTGAGTTTCTTCATCGTGAATTACAGTTATCGACTACTTGTCACTCTATAATCACGAAACTAATTCAACTTTTTTTCATGTAATTTGAATAGGGATCCCCTATGCTAAGTCCAGCGCAAAAGTATTTGACACTACGATCACTAGGCGCTCCTGCAGTTCTTCTCTCTTTGGCCATGCAAGGGGTCTTTCGAGGTTTTAAGGATACCAAAACTCCTCTGCTTGCCACTGGTAAAGAGATTTTTCTTCTTCATTACTTTTCTCTTAGTTTCATTCATTCCCAAATATCAATTAACTGTTATAATAACTACATACCAATGAATTTTTAAGTGAATTGGCGCTTGCTAATTATAAGAGTTTCATACTCAATCAATTAAGGATAGACTCTCTCTTCTATACGATAGGCTAGTCCCATATGTTAATCGAACATCTTAATATCTTATGCACTACAAATTTCTGGATGGTTTGACTTACTTCAGCCTCATCTTTGTGATTTAATACAGTTGTGGGAGACCTGATGAATATAATTTTGGACGCTATCTTTATATTTCCATTGCGTATGGGAGTCAGTGGTGCAGCTATTGCCCATGTTCTCTCTCAGTAAGTTTTCGCTTTTAAAACTTTCCATTCATCAGGGTTCTCTTATAATGCTTTTGATACATCTGTTTTTTTACTGTGGTTTTTAACTAATGAGTATTGTTCTTCCCAGGTACTTGATTTCTTTGATCCTTTTGATCAAATTGATGAAGAAAGTTGACCTATTGCCTCCGAGTGTTAAAGATTTGCAGTTCAGTCGATTTCTCAAAAATGGTAACAGGTCTAATGCAGGAGTTTCGATCTTTTGGGAACCTCTTAAGAATTTTTTTTTTTTTTTGAACGTTTTTTACAAGTGCAACAACTCCTCTTTGCTTTACTTCTGATTACATGTGTCAAGTCACTCCCCATTTTGTCCTACTGAAACTCTGTTTTTGTGGTTGGACATAGGTTTCCTGTTACTAGCAAGGGTAATAGCTGTGACATTCTGTGTTACATTGGCTGCATCAATGGCTGCAAGGCTGGGCTCAACACCTATGGCTGCATTTCAAGTTTGCTTACAGGTCTGGATGACTTCATCGCTTCTTGCTGATGGCCTGGCTGTTGCTGGACAGGTAAAGGACATCTCTCTCTCTCTCTCTCTCTCTCTCTCTCCCACAGTGATATTTTTTTATAACTAATTGTTGAACGCATAATCAATCGCAAGATTGATCAATCATTAATGTGTTTGCCTCCCACTCTTCCAGGCAATCCTTGCTTGTGCATTTGCTGAGAAGGACTATGCTAAAGCAACAGCTGCTGCATCCCGCGTATTACAGGTATGTTTTTCTAAATGTAGGAGCGTAAATTCTTCTCATTAGCGATTACTAGAAATTTTCACACGACCACTGCCCTTACAATATAGTGACACTGATGCTTTCAGATCACAAGTACTGGGAATTCCTCACGGAATTAGCTAATTTTTCATGTCCCTTATCATAATCTTCAGAACATAGTTTTGTTAACACGTGTTGATGTGTCTGTGTATCATTCAATAATCCCAACCTTTTTCCTTTCCTTTTGATCTTGCAGATGAGTTTTGTGCTAGGCCTGGGACTCGCGGGCGTTGTTGGACTTGGTTTACAATTTGGATCAGGAATTTTTTCGAAGGATAAAGCTGTTATACACCTAATACATATGGGCATTCCGGTATACCCTCTATCAGAAAACATTGATTTGTTTCCCCTTACAATTTTTCTTTGTTAATCTTTTCTTGAATCCTCAGTTTGTTGCAGCTACACAACCGATCAATTCCTTGGCCTTCGTTTTTGATGGTGTTAACTTTGGAGCATCTGACTTTGCATATACTGCATACTCCATGGTAAATTTTACATACTCTTGCCTACGCTACAAACACAACATCAGCACAAACAATTTTTCAACTTTTACCTCTATAACCTCCTGTAAGTAAATTGAACATTATGTTCTTGTTTCTTCAGGTTCTGGTGGGAGCAGTGAGCATTGGATCCTTGTTTGTTCTCTCTAAAGCCAATGGTTTTGTTGGAATATGGATTGCTTTAACCATTTATATGGTTCTTCGCGCATTTGCTGGTATTGGCAGGTAGTTTTCTTTGTTCATACCATAGTATACATTATACAACAATAACAACATCAATAACAACATCAATTTTATCAGATTTCCTAGTCTTAAAGTTTTTTTCATAGTGCTCTAACTTTGATCAAAATGGGAAAGTTCGTGCTTGTATTAACACCTATTGCATCTATATTTGCAGGATGGGAACCGGGACAGGACCTTGGCGGTTTCTCAGGGGTCGATCGATGGAATAGAATGTGAATTTCTTCGGATTTCTTTGACCTATTGATATACTATTCTCCCTTTTTTCCCTTTCTTTTTGTTGTAGCCCGTCCGCCGACAGAGGTTTTTTTTTTCTTTGCCTATAAAATAAATGGACCTCTATATCTTGTTTTTATTTCTTGTACTTTGAATTCATATCCTTCATGTATATGTAGGTGCTAGAATTCACTTTGTGTAGAAGTTCTATGAGATGGTTATGGAACTTATTATATCTATATAATAAAGTAGCTAGAATTCTTAATCTTTAACTTTTCGCAACTCAGATTTTTTGACGATTAATAATCCGACGATCCTAATTGAACTTAACTCTAACAATCTCATCTCTCATATAACTCTCTCTCTCCTATCTCCTAGACGTTTTAAACACACACAGACTCATCTTTTTCTCTCTCGCATATCTCTTTTAAACACACACCCTACATATCTCTCATATAACTCTCTCTCTCTCTCTCTCTCTCTCTCTCTCTCTCTCTCTCTCTCTCATATCTCTTTTAAATTGGATTTAACTCTAACTCTCATCTCTCATACAACTATCCCTCTTTCCTATCTCTTAAACACATATCTCTTTTTATTATTTGAATGTGGATGAATTAAAAAAAATCGTATGTTTTAGAGAATGAGAAAACATTTAAATATAATTTTCTTTTACAGGTTGTATACATTATTTTGGAAGCCGGTGGAATTTCAAATAGCAAATTTATATATTATTTTTACAGTATTTATGAACTTAGTTTTATTATATAGATGGTTGCATTTTTTTTTATTAGTGATGAATTTTATTTATTAGTAGCATGATTTGTTAGTATTCGTTTGTTTTTGCTTGAGGTATTTGATTACACGGCGTGGATTGCAAATTTAGTGATTGAGTTTATAATAATGTTGTGTTGTTGGGTTAATTGGTGACCATAGTGATAAATTCATACGTCTTTTAAATGAGCAAAATTTTATTTATTACTTAAACATTATAAATTTTATTAGGTTTTGTTAGTATTTTTTTCTAAAGTATTTGTATATGTGATGTCGTTTTGGAGAGTTTTTTATATATTTTTGTAATAGTTCTATATATGGAGAATATGTTCGACAGTATATATCTGGTCATTTTAAAAGAATTGATATAAATGTTTTTGGTTCATTTTCTTTTTCAAGTCGGGCAATTACTTACAATTTTTTTGTGTGTTATATAGTGTCTTCAAGTACGGGTAATGACTAGTACACTAATATAAGAATTATAATTCCATAATTTGCAAAATCATCAAAAACAACAATGTAAATAAACAACAAAGATTTTTTATTGTTACATACCACAATCACTTCAATGTAAATATGTCAATCCCTCATGTTAGGCGAATGGCAACATACACCAGGAGTAAGATTACGTAGTATCTTAATTGTTCTATAATCTTTTATCTTTCTTTTTGTATGTTCCAAAGACAATAGACACTGCGATATGCAGGAATTAGTGTTTGATAGAGTAAATCCTAGTTCGGCAACGAACCCGATATAGTTGCAAAAAAAAAAAAATCGCTTAGAATTTTTTCAATCCTTAAAGACGTTGTCAACATCATCGGGCGGCCGGTGGAATCGAGAAAGTTCAAGACTATGGCAGAATGATTAAAGCATAATGAAGAATTTGGAAATTCCAACAACTTCAAAGACAGTTAGAAATTACCAACACCATCTATGTCCTTTAGGAAGTGCAATTCGAGTTGACGAAGGCTTGAAAACTGTTGGAGATATAGCAGCAGCCTAGTTTATTAGGGTTTTATTAAGTTTTCTTTTTTTACCTTTTTTGTCCTTATGGTAACTCTCATTGACTATATATACGGGGCTATACACTTAGTTTGTATCCCTTTTCATTCACAACTATCTCAAGTTGGTATCAGAGCCAAACTTAAAACACTAACCCTAACCCTAACCTCCAGCATACTCAGCAGCCACATCTCCCCAGCAAGCAGAGAAACCACCCAAGACATCAACACCATAAACGAGCTGAATAGTATCACCGACCAGCCACAATCACCTTCAGCAGTCCAACCTGTCACTGATTANGGACTCATCTTTTTCTCTCTCGCATATCTCTTTTAAACACACACCCTACATATCTCTCATATAACTCTCTCTCTCTCTCATATCTCTTTTAAATTGGATTTAACTCTAACTCTCATCTCTCATATGACTATCTCTTTCCTATCTCTTAAACACATATCTCTTTTTATTATTTGAATGTGGATGAATTAAAAAAAATCGTATGTTTTAGAGAATGAGAAAACATTTAAATATAATTTTCTTTTACAGGTTGTATACATTATTTTGGAAGCCAGTGGAATTTCAAATAGCAAATTTATATATTATTTTTACAGTATTTATGAACTTAGTTTTATTATATAGATGGTTGCATTTTTTTTTATTAGTGATGAATTTTATTTATTAGTAGCATGATTTGTTAGTATTCGTTTGTTTTTGCTTGAGGTATTTGATTACACGGCGTGGATTGCAAATTTAGTGATTGAGTTTATAATAATGTTGTGCTGTTGGGTTAATTGGTGACAATAGTGATAAATTCATACGTCTTTTAAATGAGCAAAATTTTATTTATTACTTAAACATTATAAATTTTATTAGGTTTTGTTAGTATTTTTTTCTAAAGTATTTGTATATGTGATGTCGTTTTGGAGAGTTTTTTTATATATTTTTGTAATAGTTCTATATATGGAGAATATGTTCGACAGTATATATCTGGTCATTTTAAAAGAATTGGTATAAATGTTTTTGGTTCATTTTCTTTTTCAAGTTGGGCAATTACTTACAATTTTTTTGTGTGTTATATAATGTCTTCAAGTACGGGTAATGACTAGTACACTAATATAAGAATTATAATTCCATAAGTTGCAAAATCATCAAAAACAACAATGTAAATAAACAACAAAGATTTTTTATTGTTACGTACCACAATCACTTCAATGTAAATATGTCAATCCCTCATGTTAGGCGAATGGCAACATACACCAGGAGTAAGATTATGTAGTCTCTTAATTGTTCTATAATCTTTTATCTTTCTTTTTGTATGTTCCAAAGACAATAGACACTGCGATATGCAGGAATTAGTGTTTGATAGAGTAAATCNGAACTACGTCATTCTTGGATGGTTATTTAGCTCGATGGAGCCATCTGTTTACAGGATCCCCCAGTTTCATAGCTCTGTTTCGAAGCTATGGAGCGCACTATCAGAGATGTATTCCCAGTCAGGACGGGGAGTTCGTGTTTATGAGCTTTCTCAGGAGCTCTCATATGCTCGGCAGAGAGATATGACCGTTCAGGATTATTATGGCTATTTGACCCAGTGCTGGCTTGAGTATAAGACTCTACGTCCTCTTGCTACTATTCCGAAGATAGAGCCCGAGGGAGCAACATTTTTGCATACTCGAGAGTAGGAGGATAGGATTCACAAGTTCCTTATGGGGCTTCGTGATNTGTCCTTATGGTAACTCTCATTGACTATATATACGGGGCTATACACTTAGTTTGTATCCCTTTTCATTCACAACTATCTCAAGTTGGTATCAGAGCCAAACTTAAAACACTAACCCTAACCCTAACCTCCAGCATACTCAGCAGCCACATCTCCCCAGCAAGCAGAGAAACCACCCAAGACATCAACACCATAAACGAGCTGAATAGTATCACCGACCAGCCACAATCACCTTCAGCAGTCCAACCTGTCACTGATTAGCATACCACAAACCAACAACATCAACATCACCGACCAGCCACCGATCACCATAAAGCACCGAGCACCGACAACACAATCAGTCCAACTGAAGCGAAACCCACTGTCCAACTGAACCCATTGCACAACTGACCGTTCACCGACTGCCCATCCTACATCAAACTCCACCGACAACCAATATACATCAAACCAACCCAAAACAATTCTCAACCCAACACAGCCCAGCCGAAACAACATATACTTAGCCGAAATAACATACACCCCACTGAAATATTAAATCCATACCCAGCCCACTGCCAACCAATAAACCCAACCCACTGTTATATCTAGGATTTTTTATGAGGGGTTGTTGATTTGCTCTTGATGCAGTAGATCACTTATTTATATATTTTGGATTTCTGGGCACCGTGACTTAATTATTTAGGAGTTTTTTGGACCTTCTTTATTTGTCGCTACTGTTCGACTGAAGGTATATTGTTCTCCCTTATTTTATTCCTCTATTTATCTTAGAGTTATTTTTCTGTCACGGGTGCCCTAGTATTGTTGTTGATATGGCTACTACTGAGGGACTTGAGAACCCTACTGTTGACACCTCTACCGTTGAGACATCTATGGGTACTTCCACTTTTATGTTTGACCAGTATACAGTGCCTACTAGCACAGTTGCATTACCAGCATTACCGGGCATGATCTCTCAAAAAGTTACGGCACAATTGTTGAATGGTCGTAACTTCGCTGAGTGGTCACGCTCATTCCAGCTTTTCTTAGGCCGTGTAGGGAAGCTTGGTTGGCTGACGGGATCTCACCCAAAGCCAGCTGATGCCGACCCTGGATATTCTGCGTGGTTCTCTGAAAACTGTGCCATTCTTGGATGGTTATTTGGCTCAATGGAGCCCTCTGTTTGCAGGATCCACCAGTTTCATAGCTCTGTTCCGAAGCTATGGAGCGCATTATCAGAGATGTATTCTCAGTCAGGACGGGGAGTTCGTGTTTATGAGCTTTCTCAGGAGCTCTCATATGCTCGGCAGGGAGATATGACCGTTCAGGATTATTATGGCTATTTGACCCAGCGCTGGCTTGAGTATGAGTCTCTACGTCCTCTTGCTGCTATTCCGAAGATAGAGCCCGAGGGAGCAGCATTCTTGCATACTCGAGAGCAGGAGGATAGGATTCACAAGTTCCTTATGGGGCTTCGTGATGAGTTTGAGGGACCTCGTTCTCAGATCTTGTCGATGTTGACACTTCCTTCTCTTTATGAGGTGTATGAGATGATTGAGCAGCATGAGCATCGTGTCCGTATTGCATCACTTTCAGTTGCGGCTTTGACACCTTCGGCTGACCAGATGGCCCTTGCAGTTGTTATAGGGTCTCATTCAGGATCCTTAGTCAGGGGTGGGCAGCGCTCGGATCAGCGCCGTCAGGGTGCCTCAGATCAGCGCAGACAGGGGGATTCCCGTCACTGTGATTATTGTGGCCGATCAGGACATCTCAGGGCTAC